GGATCAACTTTGTCATCCTTCTCTGTACGTTTTCTAGCGCATTTGTATCCATTCTGTAATATGGTAACCAGAACTGTGCATCATAATCTAAATGAGGCCTAACCAGTGATATATGGAGTTGAATAACCCGAGGACTCCTCTTGGTTTTAATTCTTGATATGAAGCCAGGAATTCAATTCGTTTTATTGTGAACACATACGCACCGTTGCCTTGGCTTTAGGTTATTGCTAACCAAAACTCCTAAATCTTTTTCACATTCAGAGTGATTAAGATTAACATTATTAAGTTTATAAGTGTCATGGTTATTATCTTTTCCCAGGCTTAGAATTTTGCCTACACTAAACTGCATCTGCCACTTCTTCGGACACTGCATCATCCTATAGAGATCTTTTTGTAGTGCTGTATTATCCAGAGTGGTTAGTCCGTATCCATACATGGCACAAGGATGTAGAGTTCTGTTGGTTTCTGAGCCATGTTTTATGTCACGGGAAACTAATAGGCAAATTCTGAGATGAAAGCTGAAATTTAAGACACTTGTGCAACATCTGGTTATCTTTATTGTAGACGTATCGTCATCCAGTGGCTTCATCAATACCCAGATGTTGCACAAGTGTCTTAAATTTCATCTTGTCGGTAGTGTATACCTGTCTTGCACTAAATGAAAGTTGCTGTGAGCTCGGTCTGTGACCGACTTCTGTCTTCTTGTAACTTTTCTCCCTTTCCCTCCTCTCCCCTACCCTCTTCTCCCCTACCCTCTTCTCCCCTACCCTCTTTTTTCCCCTTCTCTCCTACTCCTCACCTACTCTCCTCTCCTACTCCTCACCTACTCTCCTCTCCTACTCCTCACCTACTCTCCTCTCCTACTCCTCACCTACTCTCCTCTCCTACTCCTCACCTACTCTCCTCTCCTACTCCTCACCTACTCTCCTCTCCTACTCCTCACCTACTCTCCTCTCCTACTCCTCACCTACTCTCCTCTCCTACTCCTCACCTACTTTCCTCTCCTACTCCTCTCCTACTCTCCTCTCCTACTCCTCTCCTCTTCTACTCTTCTCTCCTCTTCTACTCTCCTCTCTTCTACTCTTCTCTCATACTCTCTATATTCTTTTTCTTCTCTCTTCCCCCCTCTTTTATCTCCTCACGCCCCTCCTCTCCTTCCCTTCTCTATCTCTTTACCCCCTCTATCCCTCTATTCCTGTTCACCCCTTCTCATTCCCTTACTCCTTCTCCCCCTCCTACTCATCACTCGTCTCTCCCCTCCCACACATAATCCGACTCTTCCTCACTCTACTTCTACTCCCTACTCGCCTCATTATTCCCTTTCAAATTGCTCCTCATACCCTTCGCTCCTCTCCTACTTGCTCCCTATTCTCTCTATTTCCCTCCTGCTCGTCCCTCCCTAGACCTAGAGCAAAATGCATTGACATGTTGTCAATGACTGCTTCAAAGTCAACTGGGAAGAGGGGCTACAACAGAAATTGCGGAGATGTTGGCAGTGTTTTGAGTCTCATTCATGAAAAAACTCATTTGGGTCTTCGATATGTAGACTGATGAGCGGTTCACTGAATAGTCGTATTGTGATTTATGTATAATACTCATCTCCTTATTTTCATCAGTGTATGTTTCGTCTTCTTAAGTAAAGGCCCTTTACTAGATGTGGTTTTGTCCTGGACTTGTATAGATGAGCGACACAAACTTCCAGGTAGGGTGACTCACGAAATCGTAATGACACGATTGCAAACAAACCATACCCCGGCCGGGATTGAACCCGCGGTCAGAGAGTCTCAAAACTCCAGCCCGTCGCGTTAGCCACTAGACCAGCTAGCCACAATAAGATTCGTCCAACTAGGTATATTTCTACACCATAGGAAGGTTAGCACAGGCACCACTGTGACCACAAATGCAAGTTTTTACAGACGAATCTCCAGCTAGCGTGGCCGTGACGAACTCTAGCTCAAGTCCCTTCACTGCCGTCAACATGACTCACGAAATCGTAATGACACGATTGCAAACAAACCATACCCCGGCCGGGATTGAACCCGCGGTCAGAGAGTCTCAAAACTCCAGCAGTGAAGGGACTTGAGCTAGAGTTCGTCACGGCCACGCTAGCTGGAGATTCGTCTGTAAAAACTTGCATTTGTGGTCACAGTGGTGCCTGTGCTAACCTTCCTATGGTGTAGAAATATACCTAGTTGGACGAATCTTATTGTGGCTAGCTGGTCTAGTGGCTAACGCGACGGGCTGGAGTTTTGAGACTCTCTGACCGCGGGTTCAATCCCGGCCGGGGTATGGTTTGGTTTCCAGGTAGGATAATTGAGGCAAGAATTTTGGGTAGCTCTAAACATAGGTTGAACGGGTACACTAGTGAGTGTGGGTGGATGTGAATTGGACCTGCCTAGCATGGGCCAGTAGGCCTGGTGTAGTGCACCTCCGTTCTTATGTTAAAATAAAGACCATAGCATCTAGGTACCCCCGTTCCTTCATGGGGGCGCACCTTGATGGTGAAGGGCTCTTGATCGTGGGAATTGGAGCTATCCTTCATTGGATCAAATCTGATTACCCCACATTCCCTAGGCTCTGGTTGATCCCTACGGTTTTAGCGCTTTCCCAATAATATACTTCAGTATTCATCGCCATATTGAATTCAACACTATGACGTAACGCACGAGCACACGCACTCCGACCATTGTCTTGGCAAATAGCAGTGGTCCTCATTACACAGTACTGTGAAATTGAGACACATGTGCAACATCTGGGTATCTTTATTGTAGACGTTTCATCTTGTCGGTATTGTATACCATTCTTGTACAACCTGTCAGACACTGCAACATCATGGAATCTTGATTCTGAGGACATGTACATAACTAACTACAACTAACCCATCTCTTTGGGTAGGACCTACTTCCACTGGGGAATCCCGCCTACCAGTGACTATGCCCTCGTCTGCTACCCGTCCCATTTCCACCTGACGTTGCTGTATAAGCGTCAGGCGCCTTGCTTCTGCTTCAGAATCTCCACGACTATGGTGCTCTTCGCACCTACTGCTAGGTTGAGGGACTGATTACCTCATCTTCTGTACATAGTTCTCCTGTCTTCAAGTTATGTCCTGGAATTTGTATTGATAAAGCCACTGGATGGCGAAACGTCTACAATAAAGATACCCAGATGTTGCACATGTGTCTCAATTTCATCTTGTCGGTATTGTATACCATTCTTGTACACACAGTACTGTGCCAGAGTTCTTTCTGTAATAGTAACATTAATTATTGGTATGTCTGATTATTTATTAATGTCATGATAAAAGGTTTATTTTTTAGTGTTAATTAAAAACAGGAGGATAACAGGGCTAGATATTCCCTACTTTTATATTTCATTTAATCTTATCTGTCAGTCTTTTAAGGCATAGTTCATGAGGATGGCTTTAATCGATCATGCAGTTGTTTTGAACTGCAACCACGAACTCCGAATGAGATAATTAAATTCCTATCCAGTATTATATCCGTTGAATTTAGTGTGGATGCGGTGTACTTTTTAACAAAAACAAATGATTTCCTGAAAATTTAAGCACAAAGGAGCCTGGCCATTGTAGGCTAGTAAAATTAATAAATGAGTCACTTGTGCAACATTTGGGTATCTTTATTTTGGAAACGTTTCGCCACCTAGTGGCTTCTTCATTTCGTTGAATTCAGTATGGATAATGTGTTCTTTTTAACAAAAAAAAAAAAGGTTTCCCGAAATTTAAGCACAAAGGAGCTTGATCATTGTAGGCTAGTAAAATAGTTATCTGCGGCATTCAAATCTGGCGGCCACGGTAGCCACCAACCACCTGTCGGCCGCGTGCCTCTACGCGCTATATTTACCGAGAGTTGTATTCATCTGTGTAAATACACTTAAGAGCTTACTGTCATCCCTGTTTTAAGGATTAAATTTACTCTGATATCAGTACACAGCCGAATAGCAGCCGTAATGAGTCTTGCGATCTATAGACTTTAAACCTAAAACACTCGCTGTATTATTGGCAACACTGCTCATTTTATCCCACATGTCGCCAGAAGCTTTTATTTCACTATTTAAAGCTTGTCTTTTTAATTATTTTTATGATACTGATGAATTACACTACTACGATAAATTTGTTTCCCGTATACTCAGTCGTTAATTGAGTAAAAACGATACGGGTAATGTATGCGGGATAATGTTGAATGGGTGTGAGCGGTAACTTGAGCTATTACCAGTGAGTGGAGGAAGGCTGACAGCAAATTGTTATGGTGTGCAGTGGCGAGGTGGATTCAGTGGGGAGTGGTGTACGCCACCGTTAACTCTGGAAGTGGCTTACACTATACAAGTTCTTATTTTCACAAGACACGTTGACAGACGAGTTAGTTTAATTCAAAAGGCAGCCAAGTTGACATTAAACGAGCGAGAAGTACTCGACGAAATCAACACCTGGTGCAAGAATTCACCAGGCTTCTGGTTGCACTTAAGCGAAGTTCATTTTAAACGACCCATTCTGAAGGCCATTTAGAGATAGTATTATCACTATCACACCATGCTATCTGTGTTCCCACGATAAGGGGGGGCGAGCAATGTGGTGGCAGTCGTGTCCATTGTGAAAGAATAGGTGTCCGCCCTCACGCACCAACACCTGGCCCCCACGGCCCTTTTTTTCACCATTCACTTGTCGCGTGTAACTATACTACTGAGTGATGATAATATGAAGAATTTGACCCTGCGTTAAGAAGCTGCGTATGCTTTGCGTGTTTAAAAGCGGGTGGTTATATCAAGGTTAACAGTAATGTATCGATATCAGCTCCTGTGTGCAGGTAGTTAATGACAGCCGGATGAGCCCGGGCTAGTGGTGGCAACAGGTGGCAGGGATTTGCGATGGCGTGATATTGGCCATCCCCTCCCCCCTTCACACGTGTTTTTTGAGGTCCTCCTCTCGTAACAAGTGACTAAATTATCAGCAAAATGTCTCTCAGGTTTAAATCCTTATTCCGTAGGATGTCAAAGGACCACGGTGGGGCTGGCAGCCACCACGGGTCTAAGGGCACGGCGACTACCCCTGCCGGAGAAAAATCCAAGGACCACCCTGTCAAGGAGCAGCATAAAGGGGCATCGAAGAAATCCTCTTCACCGGTGGCTCCTGACATGCAACCTCTGCCCACCCTAAAAGAAGAAAAGAAGCAACAGTCAATCAGCAAATCCAACAAGAAAATGGAGAGTAAGAACAGTAATAAGGAGAACATGGGGGTCCCGACCCCGGCTACCAGAACCCTGGTGCCTCCCCAGCCTCCAGACCTCCCCCAGCCTCAACTGCAGCCCACCTCGCCCACTTCCTCCACCTCTAGTGCAACTTCTTTCCCCGAGAAGGCGCAGCTGGAGAAGACTGTCTCCGACTTGGTTAAGAATGCAGAATCCAAGAAGCAAGAGATCGCCGCTCTCAAGATGGAAATCAACAGACTTAAGGTATGTGTCGCTTTCTCTGATAAATTAAGTTTAGACTTTTTTTTTTTGCCATTATTTAAATTATATTTTTATATGGGTTTGAACCTATGGAGTCTCCTTAATGCTGGGTCATCTACCAGGAGAGGCCTCGTCACAGGAAGTGCTACTGTACCCACAGGGTGTTTGCATGACGAAGAACCCAGCATATCTTCGACATAAGTGATGGAGCTGTTTTTCCCTTTCGTTTAAATTTGCTAACATAAGACCTGTAAGGAAAGGGTTATTATGGACTGTGGACTGAAATATTAAATTTTAAGTGTTACCTACTTTGTGAGTACTTTTGTAATATGAGCTGTATAGTCCTTGTGGCTTAGCGCTTCTTTTTGTTATAATAATAATAATAATTTTGTAATATGTATGAATATGGGCAGCGGGCCACCAGCAGCAACTGCCGGGTTGACTAGGCAAGCACCAGACAAGCCTGGCTCCGGCAGTAGAAACTCTTGGAACTCATCCAAGATAAAGATGGTCCCAACAGTAGGAAGTTGATAATGGTGTAAATTTGATTGTTAGTGATCTGTAAATGAAAGTAAAACAAACGATGAGGCGAGTACTTAATATATTTTATATAAGAATACCTAAATTTTACAATTATTTACATCGGCATGCCAGTTCATAAGTTGGCGAGCATTGCCATCCCAACAGGCAGACTCCCATTTAGTCAACTGCATTTTCCAAGGGAGGTGTAGTGATGCTGGTGCAGGTCTCTTGATCCACGTTACCTGTAGTTACTTCCAGAAGTCAGTGCGGTCTCAGACGAGGCCTGGTTACTGGCCTGATTAATCAGGCTGTTGTTGCCTATCTGAATTGGAACTACCCATCTTCTTGAATGAAATATCATTGCTTCCTATTCCTCATTCGCTGATGACACCTACGGGTTTAGCTCTCCACGAATAATAATTATGCATCTTTCAAATATAAATATGAAAATCAAATACATTGTAGGCTACTAGTCTTCATTAAGCTAGCTTAGCAATTGCCTATTATAAACTGGCCTAGCCTCATTTTACTAGGTTAATTTTCTTGAAATACCCAGCGTAAGTTTCTTAACGCTTTCTGTAAACTTTCAGATGCTACTTTGTAGAACGGTTTCTGTTAACTTACAAATAATTTGTTTCTACTCTTTTCAAGGTTAGCGTAGGTTAGCTTTGACAGTTTCTTTTGCGGATGGATAATTTTTTTTCGTCGTCAAAAAAGTAACATAGGTAAAGAAATTCATTAACTGATACAGCAGTTGACAAGTGGAATGTGACATTTACCCAGTAGGTATAGAGGGAGTAGACCACACGGAAATCAAGGTGTAGATGAAATGGGGATTTTGCCTAAACGAAATGTGTACAGCCTTAGTCTTGCAATAGATCATAGTTACGGTTTTTCTCGCTTTAATTATTGATATTAGTAATTGATATGAAAGCTTAATAGGCGTTTTAGATGGTTTTTCATATCTTACCAATATCAGCGATTTGCATCCTTGATAAGTCCGTGGAAGATGGAGGTTAGTGATAGAACAGATTCGGTAAACTGAAAAGGGGCTCAAATGGAACTGAAAACCATAGTGATGGAAAATTAAAAACCGAGACAGGGAAGGTAAGGGGAGGGAGGGAGACAGTCAAGGTCAGGTAGTCACGTGTGTTGTGGATATTAGAGCATCAGACAGTTCTGGGAGGCAAACATACACGTAAATGAAGCTAAAGGTCAAAATTTGTGTTTAGGATGCTTGGTAAAAAAAAAATCAGATTCAATAAGACTGCATGCGGGGGGTTTTGTCAAAGGGTGGTAGTTAATTTTGTGGGAGCAGTAGCTTATGGGATGGCTGGGGTTCCATCCATAACTAAAACATAAGAATTGTCTAATGATTATACTTTAATGAGAACTATGTAGGTAGACTTGTTTAAATTAAGGAATGTCTAACATTCCTTAATTTAAACAAGTTTCTTTTTTCAGTAGAAATAATTCTGGGTACAAGTAGTGAAACTAGGCGCACGACAGAGAAATGTCATATAGCAGGGCAAGCATTGACCGGGGTGCCATACTATTAAGTATGAAGGTGTGTAAATAGAAAAAAAAAGCAGTAGGGATAAGATAGATGAAATGGCACAAAATTGTAAGAATCACTTGGAGCAATGTAATAGAGGAAAAGTGGAACATCTCCCTCTGTACCATATCTAAGTACTTTATTAATAATACATCGTGAATGTTTAAACTGCACAGCCTCTGTACCCATGAATAAACATTGGTGGCCAGGGTTGTATACTCTTATTTGTGGTAGATTTTTTAAGTACAGTGTATAGAGGAGACTGGACGCTCCGGAACAATTTCTTTGAATATAACAAACACAGGGGTATGGAAACCGCCACAAATATTTATGAAAAATATACACACACACAGTTTAAGTTACTTAAATTTATTATAATCCTAGGATTATAATGGTAATTTTTAGTGTTTACTGACTTGCAGCAGCTTGGTATGCTGTTGCTATCGCTTACGACGTCTCGTATTTTAGTTGTAATATTTATGGAAGTGTAAACTCAGTATAAGTAGTAATGAACGACTGTCACTGATAATATGTTCACTCACTGAGTGGCGCTGCTCAGTGTGGTCTTAATAGGAGTCGATTTTTTTTAGGTAACTCCACCACTTTGCTAATAAAAAGAAAATTGACAGACCCAAGTCCCAAGTGATGCGGCGGATAGGGGAGGGGGGATAGGAAAGTCCTTTCTCAAATAATCTGACCTTAATCTGCCGCTCAGTGAACTCGGGGGTTTTGTGTGTACTCACCTAGTTGTGGTTGCAGGGGTCGATTCACAGTTCCTGGCTCCGCCTCTTCACTGGCAGCTACTTGGTCACTTCCTGCTCCATGAGCTTTACCATACGTCTTCTTAAAGCTATGTATGGATCCTGCCTTCACTACATCACTTTCCAGACTATTCCACTTCCTAACAACTGTGACTGAAGAAATACTTCCTAACATCCCCGCGATTCACCCGAGTCTTCAACTTCCAACTGTGACCTCTTGTTGCTGTTTCCCAATCTAGAACATTTTGTCTGTCCACCTTGTCGATTCCTCTCAGTACTTTATATGTCGTTATCATAGCACCTCTCTCTCTCTCTCTCTCTCTCTCTCTCTCTCTCTCTCTCTCTCTCTCTCTCTCTCTCTCTCTCTCTTCTCTCTCTCTCTCTCTCTTCTCTGTGTCTGTCTCTGTCTCTGTCTCTGTCTCTTTCTCTCTCTGTCGTCCTCTTTCTCTCTGTCTCTTTCTCTCTCTGTCTCTTTCTCTCTCTGTCTCTTTCTCTCTCTGTCTCTTTCTCTCGTCCTCTGTCTCTTTCTCTGTCTCTCTCTCTGTCTCTTTCTCTCTCTGTCTCTTTTCTCTCTCTGTCTCTTTCTCTGTCTTCTCTTGTCTTTCTCTCTCTGTCCTTTCTCTCTGTCTCTTTCCTCTGTCTCTTTCTCTCTCTGTCTCTTTCTCTGTCTCTTTCTTCTGTCTCTTTCTCTCTCTGTCTCTTTCTTCTGTCTCTTTCTCTTCTTCTCTCTTCTCTCTCTCTGTTCTCTCTTCTCTCTGTCTCTCTCTCTCCTCTCTCTGTCTCTCTCTCTGTCTCTCTCTCTCTCTCTCTCTCCTTCTCTGTTCTCTCTTCTCTTTCGTCTCTCTTCTCTCTCTCTCTCTGCTCTCCTCTCTCTCTCTCTCTCTCTCCCCTCTCTGTCCTCCTGTCTCTCTCTGTCTCTCTCTCTCTCTGTCTCTCTCTCTCTCTCCTGTCTCTCTCTGTCTCTCTCTGTCTCTCTCGTCTCTCTTCTGTCTCTCTCTCTGTCTCTTCTCTCGTCTCTCGTCTCTCTCTCTGTCTCTCTCTCTTTCCTCTCTCTGTCTCTGTCTCGTCTCTGTCTCTCTCTCTCTGTCTCTCTCTGTCTCTCTCTCTCTCTCTCTCTCTCTGTCTCTCTCTCTGTCTCTCTCTCTTCTCTCTCTCTGTCTCTCTCTCTGCCCTCTCTGTCCTCTCTCTCTGTCTCTCGTTCTCTGTCTCTGTCTCTGTCTCTCTCTGTCTCTCTCTCTGTCTCTCTCTCTGTCTCTGTCTCTTCTCTGTCTCTCTGTCTTCTCTCTGTCTCTGTCTCTGTCTCTCTGTCTCTGTCTTCTCTGTTCTGTCTCTCTCTCTCTCCTCTTCTCTCTCTCTCTCTCTCTCTTCTCTCTCTCTCTCTCTCTCTCTCTCTCTCCTCTCTCCTCTTTCTTTCTTTCTTTCTTCGTGTCGTCAGGTCGATTTCCCGTAACCTCTCCTCGTAGGGCATACCCCTTATCTCTGGGACTAGTCTTGTTGCAAACCTTTGCACTTCCTCTAGTTTCCTTGCGTGCTTGGCTAGGTGTGCTTGCGTGCGTATGTATCACCGGCATTTAGATAACCTGGTGCCCTACATCTTTGTTTTGATAGCATTAATGGTATTTTAGTAGCGTTAGAATTTATTCGAGGCCCCTTTGATAACAGTGAAGGTTATTAATGATAATTTAAGTTGTATTTTAACATCTTAGTTTAGTGTTTCGCGTTTCACGTGCTGGTGAATCAGTCAGTGGCGTGGCTTGCAGGACGAGTACTTGGATGATACTCAGGAAACCAGTTAAAGGAGTCGCTGAACTCTTAAGCATATTTGGAGAGCTTACTCCAGGAATGGATCGTTGGCGTTAGAAAGAAACGGTTTCTTTTCTTAGTGTGCGAGCTTGTCAGTTTGGTTGTAAATGGTATAGTGATACCGGCAGCTTGGTTTATGATCGACTGCGGAAGTATGGTGTTTTTGTTCCATTTTATAGACTTGTACTTGGTAATTGGTGAGGTGGGTGGGATGCAAAGTTGGTTTTATTTCCGCCTTCCCTCTTCCTTTGCAGATAACGTTTCAGAAGTGATAAACACTGCTTCATCAGTTGCATAGTTTCATCGTACACCTCACTGATACAGTGGCAACAAGTGTAAATAGAGATTGGTGGCCAAGGAGGATTTTGTGCACCAGTGTATTTACTATACACTATTCCTATCTTGTGGGTCTGTCAGAAGGTCTAGTACACTACCTGGGCACTCGCCCAAACATTCTTTAACCATGTTATTTTAGTGGTAATAACTATAGTATAAATGACAGTTGGGGTAGTGTGCTAGTATTTTTGGTCATGTTATTATTGATTTAACACATGATTTTTTTTTTTAAATTTGTA